AGGTGGTTCCATAGACTTCTATAGAGTCTGATATCTTTCACGTTCTTGACTAAGTGCTTGAATTTACTCACCACAAATAGCTAGATTTTCAAGAGCGGTGACAAAAGCAACTGGGGGAAAAATGCATAGATACTAACTGCACCCAGAAAACCTGAAATTTGTGAGCACACCTGGGGATGCATTTTCACACATACTAGGCTGTATTATATACCTGTATTTCCCAACTGGTGTGCCATCAGGCCTGAACAGGTGTGCTGCTAATTTTTTTGAAAAACTACACTAGAACCAAAAACCCTTCCTTTGTACTTTAATTAGTGTTGAAGGTGGATTGCAGTTTGTACTTTTGCTCTCCAGGACCAGGCCCCGTGCGAATATTATGCATCCGTCACATTCCACTCCCCAAAGTAAGGTTAAGATAGCAAATTTGAGTCATAGAATATCAGGGTTGGGAGGGATCTCAGGAGGTCATCTAGTCCAACCCCCTGCTCAGAGTCCTGTGGAGTGGGAGAAGCGAAGAAGAAAGGAATGGGGGGAAAGCTGCCTTCTGATTGGCTGTCTGCCTCACTACCCTGCCTGCTCCAGGGGTAGAGCAACCAATCAGAACTCAGTCTCCCTCTTCTCCCCCCCCCCCTGCAGCCACCAGCTGGGGGTTGGGGGAGGGGAAAGAGCCTCTTGGAGCCACCCCTCCCCAGCCTGGAAGGGGAGCAGGGACTCTGCTACAGCCCCCCAGGGTTGGGAGGGGAGAAGAACCCCAGGAGAAGCAGAAGTGAGGTGTGGGGGATGGGTGTGAGGTGGTCGGGCGGTACAGCTGGTGCGGGTGGGGGGCAGAATTGGGGGGAGGTGTGGGCTGGACTGGAGGGTAGGGACAGAACTGATTTGGAGACTGGGGAACAGGATTGATTTGGAGGTTGGGGGCAGAATTCATTGCTGGGCTTGGGATGGGCAGATGTGGGGGGTAAGAAATTCTGCTGCAGGGGCCAAAATCCTCCTACCCAATACATTTGGAAGCCTTGTTTGGGATTGGGTCATGAATATTCATGAGTTCATTTGGAGACCATGTGGTGTGCCTCAAAATAATGGAAGGTACGTCAAGGTGTGTCGCGGCACACAAAGGGTTGGGAACCACTGTTATACGCGCATGGGCAGGTTCTTCCAGGTGCGTGGCCTATGAAATGTGCCCGAGGTCTTGGAACCCTTGTTTTCTGAACTTTACAAGCCATTATGTTGTATTATTTAATCAGTAAAACTTTTAGAAATCTAGTTTTTGAGACTATACAAAATATATTTATATGTGGTCTGACTCTTTAATAATCTGTGCTTTAAGTATGTTAGAAATCATTCAGGATACTTCGCTTATTGAACAATTACGGGAGAAGCTAAGTATATTTGATCACTGTAGTTTCTAATGGTCTTAGTTAGATTTTGAGTGATATTTTTACCATCACTGGAAAAGTTTTCAGTGGTGAGAACTTAAAAACTACTTGGGATTCCTACAGTATATGTGATATTTGGTTTTGGCCTAAAACCATGTTTCTCTTTGTTTCAGATATCTAAACCATGTCCGAGCTACCTCTCCACAGGATCTTGCTGGGGGCTACACTTCCTCCCTTGCTTGTCACCGAGCCCTACAGGATGCTTTCAGTGGCCTTTTCTGGCATCCCAGCTAGCCTGCATACACCGCCCTGTGAGCAGTGGATTCTGGAGTGGAGCAAGGAGCAAGTCAAGCAAACCTCCAGTGAAACTGCTGCCATCTGCACTATCGTTAACCTGCTGTCACCTTTTTCATATATATATAAAATACTTAAGCACAGCTGGCTTTACTAAAGGTTTTTGTTTTGTTTTTTTAAGTCTGCACAAGAGCTTTGTAAAGTGGTGGATACATTTTTGCAGAAGGGGAACTCTAGTCATGTGGTACTTTGCTGAGAGGGGCTGAAGCAATAAGCCACATCTAATGGAAGATGTGAATAATTCAGCTATGGATGTTTGAGGTTTAAAAAAGAGACTTGTAAATTTTTTAAAATAAAACCAGGCTTTTTATTAAATTTTGTGGTTTTACTCTTATTGCAGGGTTTTATTTGCACAAGCATTTAAATGCCATTTTGATTATAACATTGAGTCAATATTCAAACCTATGTTTTTTTTCCCCATAAAACTATTTTCTCCAGCCTAGACGAGTGGGTTTGTTTCGTAATGCCTGTGGGGGGAGACAAGAAAACGTGGAGCTGTGCTGACATCACTCCTATGTTAGACATACTTGATGTCACTCCTCATGCTACCTTTGTCCAGAAAGTGGCAGTAAAGTCCCTGGCTAAGAATCCTTCACCTGTGTTCCTGGAGAATAAGCTTAAGTGGAGCATCATTACTAGCTCAAGTGGTTCTAACTGGAGAAGGCTAAAGGAGGCCAAACGATATAGAAAAGAATGCAACAAACCTTTGCTTCATCATTTTGTGTGTGTCATTTCCCCCCCACCCCCCTTCCAAGGCAACGCAGCTCCTTTATTAAACAGAGCAAGTTTTCTGTGACAGTTTAGAACAGTGGTCCCCGGGGAGCACGGCATGGCCTGGGCCAGCCCCCACAGGGGACAGGGAAAGAATGCCACCCAGGTCTGCTCTGCCCTGGCCCGTGGGGGGTGAGGAAGGGCACAGCACCTTCCATTACAGGTAAAAGGGAGGGGGGCCATGAGAGGAAAGTTTGGGCACAAATGTTTTGTGTGTGTGAGGGGGAAGGAGTAGGAAAGGCTAATGCCCTTCAAAGCCTCGGTTGTCTGTATGCATTATAGAGTTTAAAGTAACAGATTAAAATGGAGACTGGGGATGAGAACAAAGGCACAGAGTGAGGAATATTAGCCTCTGCCAACAGATGGCAGAAGCTAGACAGCAAGCTTAACTAGCAGCAAAGGTTAGCCAGGTCTTGAGTAGTTTGAGGCTGTTAGCCTGGTTGGGGAGAAGTGACATGGACCGGTGTTTGAAGCGGAGCATAGGAGGTGAAAGCAGTTTTGACTGGGGAATAGAACCAGAGCTTCTAGTAGAGGGAGAGATGAAATAAAGTTTTCAGCTTTATCTTAAAAAGCTGTTAAAAACCGGCTGGTCAGCTTTTTCGAGAGGGAGAGAACAGGGGGGTTGGTATCGCAGGAAAGTGATAGCCTTACTCCAGGTGGTGTATAAGCATGAAGCAACAGTTAACATTAAACAGGAGCTTCTGCAGTGGTGGTAGAAATCAGGCAGCTGGGCAAGTTCCATACTTTTGCACCGTATTCTAGATTGGCTGCACTGTGTACAAGGTGAATGTGTACTTGTTTGAATTCACACAGGATCACAGAGAAGCTCTTGCTTTGGTTTCCCAGGTAATTCTTTCCACTTGTTGAGTTGTAACACTTTAGCCGTCTGGTTGTAAATGTGAATGCAGTCATGCTAAGAACGTGCAAATGATTAGATACTTAACTGGCTATTTTTATGTCCAGTTTCCAAATATGGGTGCAGTAGCAGTAATTGGAGGTGCAGTTTTGTACTCAGTATTCAGAAAATCTAGCCTTGGATGTGCCTAAATTCAAGTACTTCATTTATATGCAAATATTTATTGTGAACAAAATGAGGCGACAACTTAAACATGAACTGGAAAGATAAGAGCAATACTCAAATAAGTGCTAAAGATCCTAAAGTGTACTGGGTCACTTAAAGTATACAGGTTTCAGAGTAACAGCCGTGTTAGTCTGTATTCGCAAAAGAAAAGGAGTACTTGTGGCACCTTAGAGACTAACCAATTTATTTGAGCATGAGCTTTCGTGAGCTACAGCTCACTTCATCAGATGCATACCGTGGAAACTGCAGCAGACTTTATATATACACAGAGAATATGAAACAATACCTCCTCCCACCCCACTGTCCTGCTGGTAATAGCTTATCTAAAGTGATCATCATAAGCTATTACCAGCAGGACAGTGGGGTGGGAGGAGGTATTGTTTCATATTCTCTGTGTGTATATAAAGTCTGCTGCAGTTTCCACGGTATGCATCTGATGAAGTGAGCTGTAGCTCACGAAAGCTCATGCTCAAATAAATTGGTTAGTCTCTAAGGTGCCACAAGTACTCCTTTTCTTTTTTTTAAAGTATACAGTGTAAATAAGAGGGATTAAATGACCTGCCCAAGATGACCTAGCAAGTGAACTTAAGTCTCTGGGGTACAGTGGCTGGAATTTGAAGCTAGACAAATCCAAACTGGAACTAAGGCATACCTTTAACGGAGAATAATTAACCACTGGAATAATTCACCAAGGGTTGTGATAGATTCTCCATCACTGGCAATTTTTAAATCTTGATTGAGAAATTGATGATTTTTTTTTTTAAAAAAAAATATGCTCTAGCTTCAAAAGGAATTATTTTGGAGGTGTTCTATGGCCTGTTACACAGGAGGTCAATGAATCCCAGTTCAGTTCCCTAGCCACAACCTTGCACTGAAGCAAAACTAAATTACTTGTGTTTGGTACTAATGGCCACTTAGTACGTAGCAGAGTCTTTCAAGCTTCAGTAAGTACAGAGTTCTCTAACACCTAGCGAAATCAATTTGGTGGTAATGCCATTTGTCATTACAGTGGCACAGGTACGTGTGTTTACTTGTACCTTAGGTCAAAATTTCAAAAAGCTGTCTTGCTGACACACAAGCTGTTCATGTGTTCATGCACTCTCCAGTCACGCAAATCCAGTACACGTAAGCACCAAACCGGTCTGCATGTGAAAGAGCCCAGTTCTGCTTGCACAAATACAGATGGCCTTCCCTAACGTACGTACAATTCTCCTTAGAAAAGTTCTACAAAAACAGAATGGGCCATGTTGGGCCATGTTGTCCCATCTAAAACATTTACAATAAAAGTGTTGCCATAAACTGAAAATGCCCAAAATAAAGCTACACCTGGAAATGTTCACAATCTTTGTGCTATCACACCCTCCCTGGCCATTTCCCCACCCCCAAGGACAACATACGTATGACAGAACTAACACACAATGTGAGAAAATAAAAAGTTTAATATTCTTTGCAATAAAAGAAACGATCCTGTCTAGTTACTGATCCTGTTTTTTTAAAAATGGACAGGAGTAAGGTGCTCACAATCCCTCCCCCTGCCCCCCGACTTTCATGCATTATGACTATTTTCTTGGTGTATGTGGGTAAATCCATTCTGCTTTCAGTGACTTGAGGGTAGATTTTCCACCTAGCTCTCTTGCACAAAATAACCAAAATTGTATTAACTAGTCTTTTAAATTTAGTCAATTTTTATTCTGGAAAGTCTTCATTTGGGCGCAGACGTTTAGAGGCTGGTTCTGCAGGACTCTCTGGAACAAGTTCAGAAAACAGTACGTTAACATTTAATACATTTCTACACTAAAACTAAAACGTCTCTACGCAGGACTTGTGGCACTTCAATTAACGGCAAAGAGTCCAGTGTCAAAGCTGTCAGAGGAGAAGGGCGTAAAAATTAATCGGCAGGGAGGGTGGAAGGTAAGCATGTGATGAATGCCATTAACCTTACTAGGACTAAAGCCTGACTCTACTGAACTCAATAGGAGTTTCTACGTGAACTTCAAGTTTTCCAATTTATAGAACCTGATCCTGCCAATTTAGAGGCTCTGATTCTACAACTGACTTTACACAGGCACAGGGGTCTGCCTGTGTGTTCCTTAGTGCAGGAGGGGATCTAAATTAGGACTAACAAATTGGAATTACACCACTAAATGAGACTAGAATCAGCTCAGAGAGAATTCTAGTTTTAAATCCATCAAATGCAGTCTCTTTTTCTCAAGTATAATTTGAGGCAAAGCATACAGTTGAAAAACCCTAAAGTTTCTAGCATCAGACTTTAATTTACCTTCATGAGTACACTGCTTCTTGAACAGCACTTCAGCTGGGATCTGGAAACTGATGCACATCATTTCCTTATTTGGTGCAACATTTCTCACCAGATGAGTAGAACAGCGTCCCTCTAAGGAAGTTCCCAAAAAAGCTTCAGCCCGTTCTTGAACATCTTTGGCAGGATTATCCTGTTTTGAGAAGCTGTAACAGTGCACTGTGGGAAGGAGGTCAGTGCTGCATGGCTTTCCGTCTAAGAAATGTTTGAAAACATCTAGAAATTCAATAGCCAAAGCTGGCAAATTCATGACTATGTGCAGAGTGTTTTTCCTTTCTTTTGTCAGAAGTGACAGTTCCTTGGTTAGCTCTTCTTTAACTGGTCCCAGAAGAAAATCCCTACCATCCATATTGAATTTTTTTATTTTTTTGTCCACTTTGTTTAATTTACAGTTGTGTACAAGCCATTTGTAGGATTCAGGGTTGAGATCATTTGCAAATACGCTGCACTTTCTCTTTGCTGCTGGGATGGCAAAAGGCCCAACCCCAGCAAAGACATCAAATAGAACATCACCTGGCTTTAAAAGTTCAATGATACGGCCATGTTCTGTGCTTAGACGGGAATTCCAATAGACTTTAGAAAAGTCAAATTCATAGGTGATGTAGTTTTCTCTAGTCTGAAAAAAGTCCAAGACATTTGTTTAAACCAACTGTATTTAGGTTCCAGACATACATGTATGTTTAAACAGTAATCAATTTATTAAATATTTTACTAAAATGTAATGGGAACATTGATGTTCATGCCACTGATAGGCATCTTCAATGCCAACTGGCTTTCCCAGCCCAGCTCTTTCTATAAAAGGGCCATTAAATGGTCCTCTGTAGCCAAATAAGGGATATTTCAGTCAGTCAATCCAGGTAGCTGGCATATGTAAATCACCAGGTGGGGAAAAAAGCAACAACTTAAAATAACTATTTTACACTCTCATGCAAGAACTCTTATAGTAGAGAAACATAGCTCAAATATGCTTAATTATGAGCTAATGCCACCTGGTTGTCTTGAATGAAATCACTGTTGATCTGATTTAAATGCTTTCTATCTGTATATTTTGCCAGCGCTACACATCCAAACTATTCAATTATGTTTCAGAGGGAAGAGGAAACACATTTAAAAGTTAAAACAAAAAAAACTTATTTTAAAAAAGCAATTGCCAAATTAGAAATTGTTGCCTTAACTCCTGTCTAAGCCTCAACAGTCCAGTTAAATAAATAGTACAGTACTTTCTATGTTGTGATACAGCATGGCCAGAAGGCAGCAAGAGAGTGATATAGGAGAGATATGGAAGTCCCAGGATGAGGAGAAGCTTTATTCCCTGTAGAGGGAAGAAAGATTTCTATAGATTAATTAAAAGCACCTGAAGCTATCACCTGATAAAAACCCCCTGCTTCAATCAGCCAGGGGAAGGAGTTGGAGTAGAGGAGGGTTTGGAGTTGGAGCAGAGAGCAGTTTGAAGGAGTTGGAGTAGAGGAGAGTTTGGAGAAGTGCCATGGCTGGCTAGAAGACCAAGACCCTAGGTAAAGAGACACCCAGCTTGTGCAGAGAGAGAGGGCAGGAAGCCCCACAAGCTGAAGAGCAGGAGAGGGAAGTAGCTCAGGGGAAGGAACCACTATCCCTCAGGCCCCTGGGTTGGGACCTGGAGTAGAGGGCGGGCCCAGGTCTCTCCCTCTCCACTACCCTTCTCTGGGTTACTAGTGGGACAGTAAATATCCTAGTTCAGGGGCAGGAAACTGCACCCTGAACCCCTGCCAAGAAGAGGAAGCGCGGGACGCACCATAATCGTACCGGCAATTTGCCACACGTGGTGTTAGCAGTGGGATCTCCATGCTGGGGACTTAAACCAAGGTTAACCAAAACCATCCCGTCCCCAAGATGGATGACGTGGTCAAGGCTCTAATACAAGCCACTGCGGCCCAGTAGGAGGCTACCCGAATCCAAGCAACCGCACAACAGGAGGTGACTCGGGTGCAGCAGGAGACTAATCGGCTGCTGATGAATCAGTCTGCCCAGGACCGAGCTCTGCTACAGGAGTTGGCAAACCAGATGAAGGCCCTTATGGAGCAGAACCACAACTGCGACGGAACCTGGACTATACAGGCCAGCCACTGCCTATAGACAGGCACGGGAGGATGATATAAAGGCGTACCTCCTGGCATTTGAGAGAACAGCCCTGCAGGAGGCCTGGCCACAAGATCAGTGGTCTGGTATCCTCACCCCGTTCCTGTGTGGAGAGGCCCATAAGGTCTGCTACGATATGGCTGCAGAGACTGCGGAGGATTACCCCCAGCTGAAGGCAGAGATCCTGGCCAGATCCGGAGTAACCACGGCATTGCGAGCCCAGAGCTTTCATGAATGGCAGTACACAGAGGACAAGACACCCCAACTGCAATTGTTTGACCTGATCCACCTGACCCGAAAATGGCTGCGCCCTGAGGCCCTTAGCTCTGAAAAAATGATGGAGTTCCTGGTACTGGACCAATATATGAGGGGGCCACCACCAGGCCTTCGGGTTTGGGTTGGCCAGAATGACCCCTCTACCTACGATGAGTTGGTCTCCCTTGTGGCAATACAGCTGGCAGCCCGTGAACTGTTCCAGACCCCGGCAAACCAGGAAGACAGCCCCAAACCCAAGGCCCCGGATTGTCGAGAACTACAGAAGAACCATAACTGGGAGGAAAGACCAAACGCCCAAGGCCATATTATGTGATCAAATGTGATCTGTTGTACTCAATAGTGCAAATTTGAGGGGAAGAAGTAGAGCAGCTCTTTGTCCCACAGAAACACACAAGGGCAGTACTAGAGTTAGCTCACAGTCATTTATTTGGGGGACATCTAGGAGTAGACAAGACACTTGATAGAGTCCTAAGAAAATTTTATTGGCCAGGAATACGTGCAGAGGTCCAACACTATTGTACCTCCTGCCTGGAATGCCAATTGCATAGCCTCCGACCTCACTTGCAGGCCCCATTATTACCTTTGCCTATTATTGAAGTCCCTTTCAAAAGGATAGCCATGGACCTAGTGGGCCTGCTGGAAAGATCAGCACGGGGCCACCAAAATGTATTAGTCATCCTTGACTACGCCACACGGAATCCAGAAGCCATTCCTTCAAGAAACCCCATATCCAAGGCAATAGCAAAAGAACTACTTCAGGTTTTTGCCAGAGTGGGCATCCCTAAGGAGATCTTGACTGACCAACGAACCTCTTTCATGTCGAAATTGATGAAGGACTTATGTACCCTGCTCCGCATCCATGCCATATGGACCTCAGTCTACCATCCACAAACAGACGGACAGGTAGAGCCGTTTAACTGCACTCTTAAAGGTATGATCCAGAAGGTGGTAGCACAGGACGGAAAAGACTGGGATACCCTTCTACCATACCTAATGTTTGCAATACGGGAAGTCCCCCAGGTGTCCACCGGTTTCTCTCCCTTTGAGCTACTATACAGACTCCACCCACGCGAAATACTAGATAGCGCCAAGGAGGACTGGGAAGAACAACCCAACACAGGAAAGGATGTCATTGAGCACATGACACAGATGAGAGAGTGAATAGCTCGAGTAATCCCTATAGTACGAGAACATTTGGAAAAAAGCACAAGAGACCCAGTAGACATATTATAACCGCCGGGCGAAAGTACGGAAATTTCAGCTGGGAGAACGGGTGATGGTGCGAGTGCTGACAGCGGAAAGCAAACTCCTGGCCAGCTGGCATGGGCCATATGAGATAGTGGAAGCCATTGGAGAAGTGGACTATAAGGTCAGACAACCAGACCGCCGAAGACCAGAGCAGATCTACCACATAAACTTACTGAAGCCCTGGCGTGACTGAGACACATGCCTGATCATTCAGAGAGCTCCACCTCAGATGGACGACGTACAGGAGTAGGTAAGGATATCCCCCAAGTTAGCCCCAGAACAACGAATAGAGGTCATTGATATGATCCAACGGAACCAAGATGTGTTCTGTACACATCCGGGCCGTACAACACTGGTCCAACATCATATCGTCACCAAGCCCGGAATAAGGGTGACCATAAGACCATACCGGATACCGGAAGCTAAAAGAGAGGAAATTAGGACAGAAGAGATGACGTTGGAACTTGGGGTTATTGAAGAATCCCACAGACAGTGGTCCAGCCCTATCATCCTAGTACCCAAGCCTGACAGCACCCTGAGATTTTGCAATGACTTCTGGAAGTTGAATGAAGTATCCCAATTCGATGCCTATCCGATACCACATGTCGATGAGCTAGTTGATCAGTTAGGCAAGCCCCGACATCTAACCACTCTGGACCTGACCAAAGGATATTGGCAAATTCCCCTGGCCCAGAACGCCAAGGAGAAGACTGCTCTCTCTACACCTGATGGCCTGTTCCAATACACTGTCCTCCCTTTCGGACTCCATGGGACCCCTGCAACATTCCAACGACTTATGGATAAATTGCTGCGACCCCATGCTGCCGCCTATTTAGAAGATATAGTCATCCATAGCCCTGACTGCGAAACGCACCTAGGGAAAATAGAAGCGGTACTAGATGCCCTGTGGAAGGCCAGCCTCACTGCCAACCCTCTCAAGTGCGTGATAGGACTAACTGAGGGGAGATACCTCGGGTATGTAGGCTTGGTAAAACCCCAATGGAACAAAGTGGAGGTGATACAAGATTGGCCTTGGCCAGTCCGTAAAAAGCAGGTCAGAGCATTTCTCGGGTTAGTAGGGTACTATCTGAGATTCATCCTTCATTTCGCCACAAAAGCAGGGCCATTGACGGACCTGATAAAGGCTCGGGGCCCTGAGATAGTAAAATGGTCTGATGCAGCAGAAGGAGCATTCACAGATTTAAGGACAGCCCTTTGCTGCCATACAGTACTCAAAGCCCCAGACTTCAAGAAAAAATTTGTCCTACAAACAGATGCCTCGGAAGTAGAGCTAGGAGCTGCCCTTTCGCAGATGGTAGGGGAGGAGGAACACCCGATCCTGTACCTCAGCCGGAAGCTCCTCCCCAGGGAGCAAAAGTACACCGTTGTTGAAAAGGAATGTCTGGCGATAAAATGGGCCATGGAAACTCTCTGCTACTACCTACTGGGGTGGCGATTTACCCTGGTGACAGACCACGCCCCGCTCCAGTGGATGCACAGAAACCAGAAGAATGCAAGAGTGACTAGATGGTTCCTATCTTTGCAACCCTTTCATTCCCGAGTACAGCATAGGGCCGGAAGCCAACACGACAACGCAGATTGCTTGTCATGAAAGCATTGCCGCTCGTCCCAAGTAGCCAAACCCCATGGTGTTGAGCGGGGGGAGGATGATATGTGATACAGCATGGCCAGAAGGCAGCAGGAGAGTGATATAGGAGAGAGATGTAAGTCCCAGGATGAGGAGAAGCCTTATTCCCTGTAGAGGGAAGAAAGGTTTCTATAGATTAATTAAAAGCACCTGAAGCCAATTAAGAGCACCTGAAGCTAGTCACCTGATAAAAACCCCTGCTTCAAACAGCCAGGGAAGGAGTTGGAGCAGAGTGGTTTGGAGTTGGAGCAGAGAGCGGTTTGAAGGAGTTGGAGCAGTGCCGTGGCGGGCTAGAAGACCAAGACCCTAGGTAAAGAGACACCCGGCTTGTGCAGAGGGAGAGGGCAGGAAGCCCCACAAGCTGAAGAGGGAAGTAGCCCAGGGGAAGGAACCACTATCCTTAGGGCCCCTGAGCTGGGACCCGGAGTAGAGGGTGGGCCCAGGTCCCTCCCTCTCCACTACGCTTCTCTGGGTTACTAGTGGGACAGTAAATACCCTAGTTCAGGGGTAGGAAACTGTGCCCTGAACCCCCCGGGGGGCCAAGAAGAGGAAGCACGGGACCCATCATAATCGTACCGGCAATTTGCCACAATGTATAGACAAATTGTACTTTTCACCCAAAGGTCATAAAACATCTACCAAAGTGTTACAGAAGGGGAAATTGAGGCACAGAATCTCTTGCCTAGGTCAGAGTTAGTCAGTGGTAGACACAGGAACAGAATCTAAGTTCCAGTCCTGTGCTCCAGCCACTACACTACGCAAAGTGAATCCAAAGCACTTACCTTATTTTCTTGCGCCAAATGCATTTAACAATGTAAAAATACTTTTTTTTTTTTTTTGGAAGGGGAAGGGAACCTACATTCTACATTAGTAACTTTTAGGGCTGTTAAGTGATTTAAAAAATTAATCGCGATTAAGCAATAGAATACCATTTATTTAAATATACTGATTTCAGTTACATCGCAGAATACAAAGTGTACAGTGCTCACTTTATATTTTTTGATTAAATATTTGCACTGCAAAAAACTAGTATTTTTCAACTTACCTAATACAAGTACTGTAGTGCAATCTCTTTACCATGAAAGTTGAACTTACAAATGTAGAATTATGTACATCAATAACTGCATTCAAAAATAACACAATGTAGAATTTTAGAGCCTACAAGTCTAGTCAGTCCTATTTCTTGTTCAGCCAATTGCTCAGACAGACAAGTCTGTTTACATTTGCAGGAGATAATGCTGCCTGCTTCTTGTTCACAATGTCCCCAGAAAGTGAGAACAGGTGTTCGCATGGCACTGTTGCAGCCGGCGTGTCACGATATTTACATGCCAGATGCGCTGAAGATTTATATGTCCCTTCATGCTTCATCCACTATTCCAGAGGACATGTGTTCATGCTGATGATAGGTTCTGCTCGATAAGAAACCAAACCAGTACGGACCAACGCATGTTCATGTTCATAATCCGAGTCAGCTGCCACCAACAGAAGGTTGATTTTCTTTTATGGTGGTTCAGATTATGTAGTTTCTCCATCAGAGTATTGCTCTTTTAAGACTTCTGAAAATCTGCTCCACATCTTATCCCTCTCACATTTTGGAAGGCATTTCTGATTCTTAAAACTTGGATCAAGTGCTGTAGATATCTTTAGAAATCTCACATTAGTACCTTCTTTGCGTTTTGTCAAATCTGCAGTGAAAGCGTTCTTAAAATGAACATGTGCTGAGTCATCATCCAAGACTGCTATAACACAAAATATATGGCAGAATGTGGGTAAAACAGAGCTGGAGACGCACTATTCTCCCCGAAGAAATTCAGTCACAAATATAATTTAATGTTTTTTTTAACAAGCATCATCAGCATGGAAGCATGTCCTCTAGAATGGTAGCTGAAGCATGAAGGAGAATACAAATGTAAGCATATCTGGCACATAAATACCTTGCGATGCCGGCTACAAAAGTGCCATGTGAATGCCTGTTCTCACTTTCTGTGACACGGTAAACAAAAAGTGGGCAGCATTATCTCCTGTAAATGTAAACAAACTTGTTTGTCTTAGTGATTGGCTGAACAAGAATAGGACTGACTAGACTTGTAGGCTCTAAGCTTCTACATTGTTTTGTTTTTGAGTGCAGTTACGTAACAAAAAATATCTACATTTTTAAATTGCACATTCAGGATAAAGAGATTGCACTAGAGTACTTGTATGAGGTGAACTGAAAAATACTTTATCATTTTTACAGTGCCAGTATTTGTAATAAATAAAGTGAGCAGTCTACACTTTGCATTTTGTGTTGCAATTGAAATCATATTTGAAAATGTAGAAAAACATGCAAAAACATTTAATAAATTTCAACTGGTATACTGTTTAACAGTGCGATTAAAACTGATTAATCACTATTGATTTAATCACATAAGTTAACTGCAATTAATCTGTTTCAAAGTAGCAGCTGTGTTAGTCTGTATCTGCAAAAAGAAAAGGAGGACTTGTGGCACCTTAGAGACTAAAATTTATTTGAGCATAAGCTTTCGTGGACTACAGCCCACTTCATCGGATGCATAGAATGGAACATATAGTAAGAAGATTATATATATATACATATACAGAAAACATGAAAAAGTGGAGTAAAGAGGCTAATTATTATCAGCAGGAGAAAAAACACTTTTGTAGTGATAATCAAGATGGTCCATTTAGACAGTTGACAATAAGGTGTGAGGATACTTAACATGGGGAAATAGATTCAATATGTGTAATGACCCAGCCACTCCCAGTCTCTATTCAAACCCAAGTTAATGGTATCTAGTTTGCATATTAATTCAAGCTCAGCAGTTTCTCATTAGTCTGTTTTTGAAGCTTTTCTGTTGCAAAATTGCCACCTTTAAGTCTGTTACTGAGTGGCCAGAGAGGTTGAAGTGTTCTCCTACCGGTTTTTGAATGTTATAATTCCTGATGTCAGATTTGTGTCCATTTATTCTTTTGCGTAGAGACTGTCCGGTTTGGCCAATGCACATGGCAGAGGGGCATTGCTGGCACATGATGGCATATATCACATTGGTAGATGTGCAGGTGAATGAGCCCCCGATGGCATGGCTAATGTGATTAGGTCCTATGATGGTGTCACTTGAATAAATGTGGGTTTTTTTCTCCTGCTGATAATAGCTCATCTTAATTAATTAGCCTCTTACTCCACTTTTTCGTGTTCTGTTTGTGTGTGTGTATATATATATGTATGTATAAATAAAATCTTCTTACTATATGTTCCATTCTATGCATCCGATGAAGTGCGCTGTAGCCCATGAAAGCTTATGCTCAAATAAATGTTAGTCTATAAGGTGCTACAAGTACTCCTGTTCTTTTTGCAATTAATCAACAGCCTTAATAACTTTGTAAGAGTCCATTACTTTACCTGACTTTGAATATAGTTTATCTGATTCTCAATAAAAGCTAGGCTATACAAGTTCAAATAATGCTTAGCAATATCCTTATAAAGATCTTGTAAACATAGCTAGCTGTGATTTCATTCATGGTAGACTGGGGCACACAAAACACATACAGGACTGCTAAGCACTGAGATACTGGGCCAAGGGTGGGGTTGGGACAACATTTAAGTTTTACAGTATCTTTCCATCACATCTACTCTTCCATTTCAACTGCACTGTGTGTGTCTGATGAGGTATGCCAGGAGAAAATAGGAAAAATTGTACCTTTGTTATCATATTGGCCTCTCCTGCTAGCACTTCCATTTGAAAATTTCGATAAGTGTTGTCAATAATATTGATTTTATTTACTGTACAGGTGATTCCTGGATTCTTGTCAATTATAACCTGACCTGCAAGAAAGGAATAAAAATATTCAACTACTAAGTGTTGCTAAATCTTTAAATCCTGTAGGATATATAAGACAGCAATTCTGAGTTGTATTTTAAAAAAGCAAACTGCCTATAGAATGACTTACATGTGAAATCATTCAGCGTGCTATAAATTATTTCCACTTGTGTCACAGGGAACTCCTACTGCAAATATTTTACACTGAAAAAAGAGGGTTAGATTCCCAGTGAAGGCTCTTGTGCTTCAGGGAGAGAGTACTGTCTACTGCAGAGATTCCCAACCTGTAATATGTGAACTTGATGTTCCATCCAGTCACTTCACCATTTAAGGTGATGGTAGGTGAACCAATGAAGTTTAGGAGCTGCTGCTGGTCACTGGTCTGGAACTCAAGAGACCTAGTTCTGCTACTGACCTGCCATGTGACCTTGGGCAAGTCACTTCTTGTAAAGTGTAAAGACACACAGACCTCTAGTGTTCTAGGGCATTCCAGCAGTACCGTAATACACATAATAAATTATTATCTAGAGGACCGATTCAACTTCCGTATCAACGTGATTCTACTGGTACCCAGATCAGCTAGTAACATAAGTTTAAAGAGTGAACTAGAGCAGTAAACTTTCGCTGCTGTATCAATAAAATGTTAGTTTTGATCTTGGTCTCCCCTGCCATAAAGGGGTTGAGTTTAATGGGCCTAACCTGAAATTTGCTAGATGCAAAGGGCCTGACCCAATGCCCAGTGAGGTCAATAGGCTACTGTTAACTTCAAGTTCGCTAAAAGGCCTGATCCAGTGCCCTTTAACTCAAGCATTCACTTTTAATAAAAGACTGTTTAAGGTAAGAAATTTTTAAAACGAGGGGTTCCAATAAGTTTCCCTGTGCAAAATAATAATCTCTAGCTCAGGCACTTATTAAAATGACTTATCCAATTATACACTTCTCCCAAAGCTATTTGTTGAGTATGAAGGTTGTACATACCAATCAGATGTTTGTAGGGTAGCTGATGATCTCTAAGATTCAAGTGAGCTATATGGCCAATCCTACTAAATCCAGAGGTGACATCTTGACCTTCAGGAAGCACCGCTCGTAAGATTTCCTCAGTCTTGAAATTGTCATAAGTTAGTTCCAAGTTATACTTGGACACATGAGGGTCAATATTAAACTGCTTTAATACTTCTTGTTCAGATTCTCCCAGTGAATATTCTGCTGATATTTTATGAGGATCCAACAAAACAAGTCTATTGTCTTCATCTTTTGGATCATCAATCACTCGCTTCAGACCTGGGCGCTGCAGTGTTGTATGTTTGAGGGATTTTAACAATTTGTTTATTACTACTTTTTTCACTTTTAGAACTGGAACAACAATTGTCCTTTTGAAAGCTGCTCTATCAAGTGTTGTCATTCCACGTACTTCAGGATGAGGTGAATACAGTTCAAGATCAGCTTTATTTTCTAGAATTTCAGGCATTGTAAAGAAACTGTTTCTCTGAACTACCCAAAAAAATCCAGGTACTCTCTCAAAATACTGTATCAGCAGTATCCAAACTTCTGGAAATGATGTATTTGATGCAGCTGTTCTAAAAAGCTTAGTTTTCAGTAGCCTAGCAGAGTATCCATATAATCTCCATAAAATCCTAGAAGGGAAATTATTCCTTTTATAGATATTATGCAATCACTCCATTAAAAAAAAACAACACTGCAAGTCATATGGATTTGCAATCTCACAAAATAAAGTTTGTTTGTATCAACTAATTCACAGCAGTTTTGTATAGTTCATAGAGAATTAGACGACAAATTTCTATCCTTGTACATGGCCAAAAAACACAACTCAACCAATTTTATGTAATGGTGGATGATCACCTCATACCCATACCCAAAGGTAAAGTTTACTTATGATTGATGAGCCTGATGATACTCCCATTAAGACAAATGTGTTTAGATCTGTTTGCTGTCTCTGATAAACCTGATCAGAGAACACTGGTAGCAATACTGCAATTGCTGGTGGGTGGAATACTCTGCAGGGACTTAGCACATTTGTGGGAGGGTAACCTGAACTGGAACAGGAATCTTTGTCTTTTGAGTGTTTCCCCTAAGGGCTGTTGCTTTCTGCCCCACTCTACCTCCCCATTCAATATATACAAAATGAGGCTATTATTGGTTTTACAAGAAAAAGAAGTACAGCTATCCTCTGACACTAGTTCTATGTACGTTTTCATATTGCATTCATCACTTGTAGTATCTGAGTGCTGTGTCTCACTGTGTAAGTCTTCCCATGATGGCAGTCAGTTGTTTGGATGTAAGTCTTATTTGTATTGCTCTTAAGTCAAACAGCTGATTTTTTTTGGTGGTGCTGGTAAAAAGCCATCCACCTCCCTGTTGACCCTCATATCCTGTCCTGCCCTCATGCAGTTGCTACCACCTTTCCTTTGCGTTTTTATCCTTTTCCTTCTCCTGTGCGTCTTTTACCTGTCTTTATTTTTTTGCCCCCCTTTTCACTCACCAAAGGCTCCTCAGTGTTCAGACTGGACACCTATTGGTGAGTGTATGTGTTCTCAGAGCTTAAGTTGAGTATTGTGCAAAAAATATAGAAGCCTAGACCAGTGGGCTTTGGTGCTTTTGCCTCGGGCCAAGATACATCAACTGCTAGCATGGCCAGCTGTACAAAGGGTTACCATAGGGTGGTGGAAGTAGAGGACTTTCCACGTGTCACCCACAACCACAGAAACAGACCTGGGGTCATACAAGTTTCCTTGTTTCACTCCTCACTTTGCCTCATTCCACTAGACTGCCCCTTTGTAGGAAACCTGACTTAAGTAATGCTCCTGGAAAGCATACTGAGGGTGGCTTACGCTTTCTAGTTACTCAGTTAATGTGGCTACCGTTCATCATTGGACGAGTTCAGAATTTCAGAGTGTCTGGATGCTGTTTCCACTGAGAATTTTATTGGGCAACATTATTTTAGGATGACTTACCTTCTTAAGTTTTTCTATAAAGACTGTCTTTCCTCTCTAATGGAGTCCTGAATACAATCACTCATGTTTTCTTTAGTCCCCTTCATATTGCACGTAATTCACTCCTAAAAGGCTTGCCTTGAAATTAATCTAAAAGCGGCAAGAGTTGACAAATGTGGTTTTGTGTTTGTCTTCCTTTTATACCAAGGAACAATTAGTAATTCCTTAGCTCCATAATCTGCACTTGTTGCCACTATGAAAATGGATTCAGTTCAAGGTTCTTCTGATGGTACAGTAAGGCCTTTATTTTGCTAGGTTCAAAGTAACTGAAGAATTTTCTGTTGCTAGTCTCCCTCCAAAACAATTGATGTCAGATGGACTGTTCTGTCATGAGGTTGCACTTGAACTGGGTCAGAAGCAGGTTGGTCTTGCTTCAAAGATGCAATTTACAGAATTCATTCCCTGATTATGTTTTAGGGCATGTCTACATGACAGCTACTGTAGTTCTGACACTTCCTACAATAATGTAAGGTGGTTTTCTTTTGATGTAGTTAATCCATCCCTCCAAGAGGCAGTAGTCAGGTCAACAGAACAATTTTTCCAGTGCCCTACCTCTGTCTGCACCAGCAGTTAGGTCAAACCTACCTACAGCCCTCAGGGTACATACATTTTCTATATCTCTGAGCCCCAGGAGCTAGGTGAATTTAATTTTTAAGTCGACTGTGCCTTAGTCTCTCTTCAACATTCAGGGTATCGGACTACATTAGCCTTCTCTTTTTGAATTTGTTTGACGCAGTTTTGTTTGAGTGGCAGGTTTTCCAGACCAGTAGGTCCAGTTTTTTTTTTTTAGGGGAGCAAGATCAGATCAACTTGGGCCCAAAAGACCAACCAATGAATGGATCCCTGAACTTGATTCAAATGGAAACTTTTGTAAACAACTAAACATTCCCTTCTGTATTTGCAGTAGAGGCTGCAGCCTTGTTCTTGTGCCTATGAACCTGAGCTGGGAGCTAAGAACAGAAAGAGAAGAACCGTCCTGGTGCACTTTCAGTGTCCCGGCGCAGAGGGGAGTGAACCAACCCCTTGCACAATGAAAAGCAAAGGAGATCTTCCGTGCGGTAACTCTCCAGGTGGCGACCAGCAGCGGCGAGGCAGCTGGTTTATAAAGACCATGAATTGCTACCCCGGCGTCTCTCTGCAGCCGGGCCCCGGCCAGAACGTGTGAGCCCCTGCTCGGGCTCGCTCCTCAGCCAGGGGGACAGGAGCGCCTCCTGGAAAAGCTGCGCCGGGCCGCGGCTGAGCTCGGCTCCGATCCCCTCCCCCGCCGGAGCTCGGCTCCGGCCCCCGGCGCGGCTCGCCGGCTTCACAGCACGAGCAAGAGCCGCAGCCTCCTGCTCCGAGTGGGGGTGTCTGGGGCCGGCGCAGGGTCAGACCCTTCCCCCTCAGATGCCCTGCGCCGGGCCGGGCCCGGCCCTTCCCACTCCAGGCGTCGGCCCACAGGGTCCCGTATCCCCCTCACTAACCGGCTCCCCGGCCGGCGGCGAGCCTTGCCCGCCCCTCACCTCATACCGGGCTCCAGCAGCGCGCGCGCTCACGTCTCGGCGCTCTCCTCAGGCGCATTAAGACGTAATCAGCCGGAGACCGGCGAACGGTGGGGGGAGGCATCAGTGACGGCATCAGGAGGCGCCGCCTTCCCCGGCCGGCCCGAAGGGGGCGGCCCCAGCCCGGCTTGAGGCGCCGCCCAACTCCCTCCCCTCGAGAGGAGGCGCGGGAAGGAGCGGTTGGCCTAGCTGGGAGGCAAAGGGCACCATGCAGCAGCCGGGGCCCGGGAGTATCAACTGCGAGCCGGGCTGGTACCTGTCCGCCCGCGAGCAGGAAGGGGAGCAGGAGTCCACCCCGTTGCTGCCGCCGGCGCCGCTGGGCGATGTGTGTGAGGGGACGGGGGGCTGGGCGGGTCCCGGGGGGTGTCTGGGGCAGGAGCTGAGGGAGCGGAGCTGGGTCTGAGCTGGAGCCGGGGAGGAGGGAGGTGTCAGGCACGTAGGTGTGAGGGGAGGAGGGGGAGACTTTTTATCCGCAGGACAGGTCCCGCCTAGCCAGGCTTCCCCGCTTGTGCTTTGAGGGGTGACTGGGGATGGGAGGAGGGATCATTCTCCATGGGCAATTCAAGCCTTGGCTTCTTGGCTTGATCCTGCCACCCGAGAAAGTAGATGAAGGGCCAGTGGGTTGTTTGTGAAGTGAAACCATTGTTCACCCGACTGAAATCACCAAACTCGTCTTGGACAGCTGTTAGATGGTAATGACTATTGGGTTGGGTGTTACTAGTCTGGGCTGAATTTAAACCAGCAGGGACATGCAGCCCTGATGATAATGTGGGGAGGTTGGGTGGGAATTACTGTGTTGGTATTTTTTGGTGCTGCTTGTATTTTATTAGCATTAGTGTGCTTGGTGCCCTAGAAGCAAATAAGAGGACAGTCTCCACCCAAGAAGCTGATAGGCTAGTTCAGACAAATGATACGTAATATCGCCATTGAGTAAGAATATTGAAGCATTTTGTTTTTGAGAGACTTCATCAATGATTTAGATAATGGCATAAAGAGTACACTTACCAAGTTTTGTGGACGATACCAAGCTGGGAGGGGAGGATTAAAATTCAAAATGATCTGGACAAACTGGAGAAAGGGTCTGAAGTAAATAGGATGAAATTCAATAAGGACAAATTCAAAGTACTCTACTTAGGAAGGAACAATCAGTTGCACACATACAAAATGGGAAATGACTGTCTAGGAAGGAGTACTGCGGAAAGGGATCTGGGAGTCATAGTGGATCACAAGCTAAATATGAGTCAACAGTGTAATGCTGTTGCAAAAAGAGCAAACATCATTCTGGGATGTATTAGCAGGAGTATTGTAAGCAAGACATAAGAAGTAATTCTTCTGCTGTTCTCCACGCTGATTAGGCCTCTTCTGGATTATTGAGTCCAGTTCTGGGCGCCACATTTCAGGAAAGATGTGGACGAATTAGAGACGGTCCAGAGAAGAGCAACAAAAAAGATTAAAGGTCTAGAAAACATGACCTGTGAAGGAAGATTGAAAAAATTGAGTTTGTTTAGTCTGGAGAAGAGAAGACTGAGAGGGGACATGATAACAGTTTTCAAGTACATAAACGGTTGTTACAAGGAGGAGGGAGGAAAAATTGTTCTTCTTAAGCTCTGAGGATGGACAAGAAGCAATGGGCTTAAATTGCAGCAAGGGCGGTTAAGGTTGGACATTAGGAAAAACTTCCTGACTGTCAGAGAGGTTAAGCACTGGAATAAATTGCCTAGGGAAATGGTGGAATCTCTATCATTGGGGATTTTTAAGAGCAGGTTGGACAAATACCTGTCAGGGATGGCCTAGATAATACTTAGTCCTGCCTTGATGCAGGGGACTGGACTAGATGACCTCTCAAGGTCCGTTCCAGTTCTATGATTCTATGAAGAAAGTGTATTTTGAGGAGATATTTTAAGGAGAGGAGAAGGTGTTTAGTACATGGAAAAAAAAGACACTCAAGCTCAAAGGACAGTGTGAACTAGTGAAATACTACCTAGAAGGTGGCAGAAAGATGACAAGGATACAAAGTGGGGCCTATAGTAGGGAGATCTGGCCCTACAGAGTGGAGCAGGAAGAAATGAGCAGAGATGCAGGCACACAGAGTAGTACAGGGCTTTAAAGTGAGGAGAACAGTTTTTCTGAGATGTTTGATTAACTAAGGCTTGGAAGTATTCAACTCTCCCACATGCTGCTGTTTCCTTACCTTTCTCCTCCTTCCTCCCCCCCCCCCCCCCTCAATTGGCTATCAAAGCCTTCTTTAACAAACAAAGCTAACCACATTCTAATCTAAACCACTCTAGTTTGTGTAGAAAACTACTGTGTTTGGGGATCATTACTACAGCTGTACTATTTATTTTTTAAGTCTGGGTTCTAGAGTTTTATAAGGGTCTGTTGGATGGAGAGAGGGAGAAGTTATGTGGCTGAAATTTCTTTGGTCTCTCCAAAACAAACAACCAACCACAAAACCCTCATACTAATTGTATTTGTTTATCCTATTTACAGAGAGCCCTGAATCATGCGTCTTCAGGTGTTTCGTTTGGTTTCTCAGTATTTAATTTAATGAATGCAATCATGGGAAGTGGAATACTTGGTTTATCCTATGCCATGGCCAACACAGGGATCATTGGATTTAGGTAAGTTTTTAGTTTCACATACATATCCATTTTAAAATGACCTTTGCATGTTCTTCTTTTTTAAAAAAAAAAGTTATTACAGTATTTAAAGTGGGGAGCAAGATCTGAGCTGAGGTTTTTTGTATGGAAAAATATTACAGTGTACAAGGGCTGGGTGGCTTATATTTATGTCATTAAGGCTATGGACCCTTTCACTTCTAGGTTATTATTTCAAATCTGGCCTTGGAGGTAGTGACCTGAAGTCTCATTAAATTACTATTAAATTGGTGGCAATTTGGTACTCAACCCAATTGCTAATGGATAGATGTTTATATCACAAAATCATTATCCCATTTAGCTTTAAAATTGGGCTGTCCAGGATAGGGCTGATGCACTTCTGCTGAGCAGTGTGGGGAAGCTTGTATTTCTGCTCTTCATGCTGTACCTGTTCTGTGAATAAATAGAGGACTAACTACCATTGTCAGTCTGACTCCTTCTGTAAGGACTAAGTTCACTTTAATATATATACAAACACACATGCGGTAGAGTTGCAGTTCCTGGTGGTTATGTTCCACTTGTGGTTATGAAATGGTTCATGTGCAGTGCTTTTGTCCTAAATAAAATCTGTGATGACTTATAGTCTAGCACATAAAAATGTGAAGTGTGGTGGAACATAGCAAACAGCAGATAAGTCAGTGACTATTTGAACTTTGGTCAGCAGATGTGAGCCATAAAATGTGGAAGTCCTGTCTCGTGATAACTTCTTACTGGTTTATTATTGCACAAGATTTAAAAAGAGAACATGTATTTTACTTTAAGAAATGCCTTAAACGTCAATATTTTATATTTTAGTATCTTGCTGCTGATTGTTGCCAGCCTTGCTTCTTACTCTGTATTTCTGCTGCTTAGTATGTGCATTCAGACTGGTAAGTGAAGAGAATATATAGAACAGTAGTCTATAGTTTGTCTCATCTACATCTCAAAGATGTGACCCTGTAAAATTATTTGAATTAATGTTATATAAATATGATACTGTATATCTCACTATTGCTGTAATATTTTGATAATTAAGATATGTCATTATTTTGTTATAAAACTCATCCATAAGTGTGATTTTTGAAACATTGTCATACTTCTGAAACTTTGTGACTAAATTTTTTTTTTTTTTGGTGGTAGGTGGTATGCACTAAATGATTTTTGAGCTCCCAGAAATTCTGTAAAGATGCACGAAAAAAGGCAAATATCTGATATAGCTTTGTAAGGACTGTTTTAACAGCTTCTGGATTCAAGCATTTTGTTCATTTACATATATACTCCAAGACCCTGCTGCTGCTGCTTTCTTTGAAGTCATAAGAGCAGCAGCAAGCCCTAAATTAGTATCATTGTGGACACTCATTCACTTTAATGGATACCTTATCAGGCTTGGTAATCTTATTTGACTGTTCTCCATCCCCTTCCTCTTTGCATACCTCTTCTATCTTAAGGATCATCTGACGCTGCTTGATTCTGGTGTGTCTTCTGATTCTAGACCCTTAGTATTAACTTATCATAGTTCAGGAGTGTTTGCTTTGGAGTCTTAACTCTCTACAATATCTAATCAGCTGCCACCTAATGATTTAACTCATGCCTTTTTTAAAACTGTTATTGAAACCTTAAGATTCCAGTTCCATAAATTCTTCTACATGGAGGTTTTCTGGTATAACCTGGTCTCTGTCCCCTCATCCACCTTGTCATTACTGCCCTATCTGTCATCTTCACTTTAAGGATGGTTTTCATGGTAAGAGAAACCTTCTTTTCTTTCCTTATTGCCTTCGTTTCCCATAGCTAGCTTTGGTCACTCAGCTGACTGTTTCCTGATTCTGCTGTTCCTGTCTTCATCGGTTGAGTGATCTCCTTTTCACACACTTTATATATAATATTAAAAAAAATCAGTGGAGGTTAGGGATACTTTAATGAAAGAGAGCAATAGCTGCTTGGTGCTTTTGGAATAGTTTATGGCTACCTCTTTCTCTCCGGCCAGTTAAGGTTCCAAGTTTAGAAAGGAATCATTACCTGATAGTGCAAAGGTTTGAAAATTCTTTGTCTACTGTAGGTTTTTATATGGTCCCCATTACCACAATCTTTTAAAGTACAGTATTTCTCATAGGAGGTATCCATGCAGTGGATAAGGCACTGGACTGGAAGTCAGGAGACACAGATTCTGTTCCCAGTTATGTGATAGATATGCTTTCTGACTTTGGGCAAGATATTTAATCTGTTTTCCCATCTGTAAAATGAGGGTAAAAAACATTACAGAGTATCAAAACCATGGATGAAAAGCACTGTATCATATCCATCCTAAATTGTGGCGGTATTATGTTGATTTTATTTATTATCTTCATGGACAACCCAGTGCAAAGGAAATTACTGGGGCAGGCAAAGGGGGAAAATGGAGGAAAAGCTATTTTACAGTAAAGGAACTTTCCACTTGGTGAACTTTGAGGCTTTAAACCATCTTTATATTCTAGGTCCCTAAGTCATTATTCATAGGTAATATTGCTCTTCTGGGAAGCTTTTTTTTTTTTTTTTTACATATACAAGTATAAGGAGGCAATGTCAGTAAAGTGATTGTATGAATTATTTCACATGCTGTAGAAGAACACCTTTCCAATTAATAATTACTACCAATTAACTCATTGCCAGGCTAAACTAGGACCAGAAATATGCCTCAGTACTTCATTGAATAAAAAATGTATTAAAATTCCTGGATGTAAACTTATAGGCTTTCATTGATTTCGAGATGGTTGCAGTCAGGTTACATTTAATATAGTTTTGGTCAGTGGTTCCTGTAAAAACAATGAGATAATTCCAGGTTACAGAACATTGCTGGTCTTTTAGTGGAAACCTGTTAAGGCTGAAAGGCCACAAGCTTGACCTACTATGTCTCTATCTCAGTGAAATATATACTGTTCTTTATACGTGGGGTACTCTTCAAAACAGATCATTACATATTCTTTAAAAAAATGCAGGAGACCAGCATTTGTGAACAAACGTACAATAATGAGCTAATGTGTGACTGGGGTTGGGAAGGAAGGAATTGCAGTGGTTAATTCTAGAGAATGAGTTGGGGATATACTTTTATGGTAAGAAAAGTACCTTGACAATGTTTATAAATTGTCCATTGTGGTGAAAAATGAGTGTAAAAAGAAATGGTATGCAGCTGTCTTCAGAGGAAGCTTCTATATGAATTCTATTGTAAAGGGAGATAGATCTCCAATAAGACATCATGACCAAAATGTTTGTGCTTAATAGAAGTGTTTCTAATTTTTTAATGAGACAAATACTCTGGATTTGTAACAGTGACCGAATCTAATTACTAGTAGCAATCAAATGGCTTAGCAGATAAACATTGCTGTTTACTCCCAAGTTGTGTGTTGAGGGTTGTTCAGTCTTCAATTATAGCAGGATTGAGCTAATAGCTGGATTGATTTTTGCAGGAGTAGAGGGTTAAGGTTACTGTGAGCTGCTGCTGCTACATTTTTATATGTGAAGTGTGCAGCCATCAGTGTTAGTGGTATTGTAATTGTCAATTTCACCTCAGTGGATACAACTGGATTTCCCTTTTGTTGCAGTATGTTTCAGAAATCATATATTTTTGCTGAACTACCTTGTCTTTAAACTGGTAGAGTTTATTTTGCTTTTTAAATCAAATTGTTGTACTTTTGAAAAATTGAGAATAAATGCCAAACTATTCACAGGACTTAATTTCTAGCATAAATGCAGAGTTATTCCAGGTTTACACTGGCGTAACAGAGCAGACTCTGGCCCATTTTGTTTTTGCACAACATATTGATGATGGTACTAGAGAGGAATGTCATACACTGAGCTTGCAAAAGGCCTACAAGATGATTAAGTTCTGTTATTTATCTGTGCTACAGTAATTATTACTGTGTGTATAACTTTACAGAAAAATAACAGTGTCTCTGTCTTGAGTTTAGTCTGAGGCCCCAATCCTGCAACTTGATTGACGCAGGCTGATGCTTTCTCCCGTGTGATATTCCATTGACTTCAACGGGACTCAGCTTGGGGGTCTGTCCTGGCAGGTCAGCTTGCAGGGTTGGGGCCAAAATAAATTGTGACATGGGGAGAGATGGTAAAGCACACTGTAAGGGGCTAAGTGAGAGGAAAGCGTATAAGAGTTATAAAAATAAAATCATGTGTTTAAGACTGATTTGCCCTCTAAAATATTTACAGCAGTTTGAATCTCAGCCATGCCCTGCATTAATATAGACTAGAAGAAAGGCATTTTTGAGAATAATTTGCGTCTTTTTTGATACTTCTTGATTTTCTAGTAACAAAATGTGTATCGACCAACATTTTGAGATTAATTCTTCTATTCAGAATGATCCCTTAAGTTACCAGCATATATATATTGGAAATATTGAATTACTTTAATATGGTTGCTTAGGTCAAGTGATTACTTTTGAAGGTGGGCCTCAGTTCAGGTTACACTGTATGTAAGGATCTATAGTGATTGTTCTTAGGGCCTGACCCTGCAAAGTATAGTGTACCTTCAGCTCTCTCTTAAATTAGTTGGAGTTGGGCAGAATTGAGCGGTGAGGTTGACATTTCTTGAAAGATTTATCCACTATAATACAAAGCTGCCCCGGTTATTCTTTATGAAAATGAAATAAAATAATTAGTTCAATGAATATTGTTCAGAATTGTTTAGTCCATGGTATAATTTACAAGAATCCTTAAAGAGAAGGTGATGTGGTATCCATTTATTTGTAATCATGTTTAACGTAAAACTACTATAATATAAATTTCTACTGAGCATACTGATCATTATGTACATGGAGCAATGTATGTTGAAGAAAGTGTTTATATCCAAAAGCTATATTATAAATGAGCATCATAAAATACTGCTTTAGTTTTGTCAGTGTAAAAATAAATAAATAAATTAACCACACCCAACTATTCATAACTAAGTGTATATGAAGTTGGAAATACTTTTGTTTTTCTTTTAACAGCTGTCACTTCTTATGAAGATCTTGGTCTCTTTGCATTTGGATCACCTGGGAAGGTAACTTCTGTTTACAGTACCCATGTCTCTTTTATTCTGTACTATAGTTCTGAGAAATATTTTGTTGACTATAATTACATCATTCTTGTTTAAGAAATAGCTATGTAGTATAATTAGCAAAACCCTAAGATTGTACAAATCCTATGATTTTGGTAAATAAATTTCTACTAATCCCCAGTTTTCAATTCTAGACTGTGTAGGCCAAAAGTTTAGTTAGCCCTAAAGTATGTAGCTTTAATTTATGGTGGCATATTCTGTTTAAACACAAAGATCTCTTGAAGGAAAATGTTGTTACTTTCCAGTCCATAGATAGTATTTACTACAGTACGTTAGCTTTTGCTACCACCTACTCATCCCAATACTCTATTTCCAATGTTTTTATCTGACATTCAAATTCTGCGCAATATTACCACATAATCTGTTTACAGATGCCTCTGAATGAGTCACCATGGTGCTTCAACTCTGAGTGCTTAGGGGATGTCTACACAGCAAACCCCTTTGCAGCAGTGAGTCTCAGACCCCAGGTCAGCTGACTCAGGCTTGCCAGCCCTGCTCTGCAGGACTAAAAATAGTAGTGATATTCAGGCTTGGGTTAGAGCCCGGGTTCCAAGACCCTTACTGGGTTTCAGAGCCTGAGCCCAAACACCTATACTTAGGGCCCTACCAAATTCATGGTCCATTTTGATCAATTTCATGGCCAGAGGGTTTTTAAATTGGTCAGTTTCATGTTTTCGGCTGTTTACATCTGAAATATCATGGTGTTGTAACCATGGGGGTCTCAACCCAAAAGGTACTCGGAAGTGGGTCTGATTCCCCTCCTCCTCCCCATCCCGAGCTGCCATGCAAGGGAAGGACAAATCTTGTCCCTCCCCAGCCCAGCAGGGAATAACAGCTAGGAGCCCCCTAGCTGGAGCGCTTCCAGGAGCAGGAGGATATCGGACCCACCTCCACAAGCCTCCTCCAGCTGCAGAAACCTCTGATGCTAGACAGGGAGCTTCCTGCAGCAGGGGAAGGTGGATCTGATCTCTTTTCCCCGCCCTCCAGACCTCCAAAACTGCCATGGAAGGGAAGGACAAGTCCTGTCCACCCCAGCCCAGTAAGGACTTGCAGCTAGGAGAGCAGCTGGGTGATATCGGACAACCCACTTCCACAAGCCTCCTCCAGCTGCAGGAACCTCTGGGGCTGGAGCTTCCTGCAGCAGGGGAGGCAATCGGAGGTGGGTCTGATCTCCCCCTGAGAGTGAGAGCAGCTGTGCAGGGGAAGGACAAGTCCTTTCCCTTCCAATCCCGACTGGGACTTGCACCTAGGAGCCCCCTGGCTGGGGTGTTCCCAGTAGCAAGGGGGAAATCAGATTTCACAGGGAAGGACTTATTTCATGGTCTGTGACACATTTTTCACAGCCATAAATTTGGTAGGGCCTTATCTATACTATTATTTTTAGCTCCTCAGCATGAGCTCCAGTAAGTTGACCCAGGCTCTGAGACTCTCTGTGGTGGGTCTTTGTTTGCTGTGAAGATGTACCTTAGATACTACATGAAAGGTGAATACTGTAAGTAAATCAGACAAAGTTTAAGGAGTGTTATTAATTTAGTGATCACTTCAGATGAACAATTCTTATTCTCAGACATCCTTATAAAGGCTTTTTTGGGTTAAGAATAAATTGATGTGGCTTCCAGGTTGATTAATAGATGGTCTGCTGCATGCTTTTTTTCTTAACCAGATTTGTCCAGTATTAGATGTAGCATGTGCAGGTGTAACAGTGTTCACTCGCTGTTGGGACACCACCAACTAGATATTAGCTCCTTTCAGGTCTGAGGCCCCCCATCTCACAGTTGCTCCTACCACATCTCCCCCTCACTCTCCTGGATTCGTGGTGCTCCCTCTTTGTGACTCAGTCCTCCAGCCAGGTCACTGTAGGTCTCCCCTTCCAGGATATCAGCATCCCACTGGATCCACTGTCCACATGCTGTTCCAGGCGGTCTTCCAGTTCAAGGCCAGGTCTTGTGCAACTTTCCCAGCTGCTGACAGGGAAACCTGGGTCCACCAGGTTCAGGCCCAGGGACCATATGTCTAGCAGCTACAGTCTTCTTGCTCCCAGGCCCTGTCGCTGGTTCTCTGGGCTCTTTCCTACATCCCTTTTTTAGTCCCCTGGCGTCCCCAGTCCAACTACTTCCTCCCTTTGACTTGTCAAGACTCTGTAGCCTTAAAGAAACCTCCCTTCCCTCGGGGAGTGATTGCCAACTACTTCCTCTGGAGCAGCTCCCTTCTGTTCTCCACTTCATCCCTTTAGACAGGCCCAACCTGTTCCTTCCCAGTGGAACTACTTCTTCCATTAGGCTTTATTGAGCTCTGGCTCTCCTCTAGATTCAGCATATAAGGTTAATTGACCTACTTTAACCCACTCTGCCTTGTGTGGGGTGAACACCCTGTCACAGTGGGGAAAACACTGGTAGTGGATCTCCTTTTTGAGACGGAAGTATATTAAACATTACACATTCTCCATTATTATTCTGATCTGTGTTTCAGGTTCTGTGTGAACTGCCAAAACAAAGTGTTAAAAGGTTGCCTTTTTAAACAACTTCCTGAGGACAAAAAAAGCACAAGGCAGAAGTCTCTTTTCTGCTTCACTGGCCAGATTCTGATCTCAGATGCATTGGGTGTAACTGAGATTGGAATCTGGCCCATTAGGCATGCACAACTTCCAGTAGCATTAATTAGTAAATAATGACTCTAGTCTAGGTGACCTTCAGTATTTATTGACTAAAACTAAGATTAGATCAGGTTACCTCAACCAGTAATAAATCTTGATATTTAACAAAATATTAAATCCATTGTAAATGTGTTAACCACAAGTAATCAGAACCAAAAATGTTTCTACTGTTGAAAAGCTGGTAATTTTAGCTCTCTGGTAGTGTTAGACATTTCTTTCCAGCCTTAGCAAATGACAAGGTCTCATACTTCTTAAAAACATGTCAAACTTATCTTGCTTTTTTTCTCAACTTCAATTCTGGCATGATTTTAATAGCTGCTATTTTGTAACACATCACAACTAGAAATTAATTCTGTAAACTACCTGAAAGATTGAAATCTGAGCGTTGAAATGGTATGTAGAAGTTGATCCAGGTTTTCAGCCACCTCTTTTTCTTCTCTTTATTCCTCCTTCTTAGCTTTTTCCATTGCGCCCAACACCGTAATAGTCTAACGCTGATTATTTACTTACTAACTTTGTGCCCACAAAATAAGTACCCACTACCTTGGTCCATGGTTATACGTTGGAATTGAACTAGAAAGACAGCAAGATAGTAATCACAGAAACATAATTTGTTAACCTGATTTTATAGGGCTGATTTATTATAGGCTTGCCAATGATCTGCCCAGAAGATACTTAGGTTCTTGTTCCAAAATCAGACTACAGAATTAGAGAATGTAGAGAGTTCGGTACTTTGTCTGGACTCTTGAGGTGTGCAGCAAGGACATTCACACTGAGGACAAAGTCAAAATTTTAAGATCTGTATTAAAATAAACGAGAGAGTAATCAAAGCTACAAACCACAGAGCCACAAAAAAAGAGTAGTTTTAGAGTGGTAACCGTGTTAGTCAGTATCAGCAAAAATAACAAGGAGTCCTTGTTGCACCTTAGAGACTAACCAATTTATTTGGGCATAAGTGTTCGTGGGTTAGAACCCACTTCATCAGATGCATGGAGTGAACAGGAGCAGGTATAAATACATGAAAGGATGGGGGTTGCTTTACCAAGTGTGAGGTCAGTCTAACAAGATAAATCAATTAACAGCAGGATACCAAGGGAGGAAAAATAACTTCTGAAGTGGTAAGAGAGTGGCCCATTACAGACAGTTGACAAGAAGATGTGAGTAACAGTAGGGAGAAATTAGTACTGGGGAAATTAAGTTTAGTATTTGTAATGACCCAACCACTCCCAGTCTCTATTCAGGTCTAATCTGATGGTATACAGTTTGCAAATTAATTCCAGTTCTGCAGCTTCACAATGGAGTCTGTTTTGAAGGGTTTTTTTGTTGAAGAATTGCTACTTTTAGGTTTGTTACTGAGTGATCAGAGAGTTTGAAGTGTTCTCCTACTGGTTTTTGAATGTTATGATTCCTGATGTCAGATTTGTGTCCATTTATTCTTTTGCGTAGAGACTGTCCGGTTTGGCCAATGTACATGGCAGAGGGGCATTGCTGGCACAGGATGGCATATATCACATTGGTAGATGTGCAGGTGAACAAGCCCCGATGGTGTGGCTGATGTGGTTAGGTCCTATGATGTTGTCCCTTGAATAGATATGTGAACAGAGTTGGCACCGGGGTTTGTAGCAGGGTACAGTTCTATAGTTCCTGGTGGTAAGATCCCTTTTACAAAAGCTATTTAAACTAGCATACTCACACCCTGCATGGGGGATCTGGTTGTGAGACACAAAAGGCCACCCTGGTCTCTAGCATATCCATTGAGTTTGATGGTCCAGGTTCCTCAATCCCAAAATAGTAGAGATCAGGTTCGAGTGTTGAGTAGCTAAGCTATATTGCAGAAGCTGAGCTGATAGCTTAACAAAAGAGAACTTAAAGAAAGATAACCAAGAGAAGGATTCTTCAACATGGGGGTTTGTCCTCTTATAGGGTCCTGGCACTATCTTGAATATTCATATTCGTGCCCAACCTTCCATGCCCAAATCTTATTTCCTCATCCAGATAAATCTTAGGGTGCACTTACTCTATAGACTAGCACATTCGTACCTATGAATAACATATTCATACATATTAATATCGATTATCTCATTCTCAAAACCATTACCTTTGCTCTGAACTGTTTCTTCCATGCTCCTGCGGTGCACCTTGTGGTTACTGATATGTCCCAGAATTTTGGTAAACACCTTCAGTTCTCCATTCAGTTCCCCAAAGTCAGAAGGGTAACTGGTAGGCAATTTATCTATGCCAAAGGTTACAAACACTTATGCAACTTGCTCTAACTAATCATACAGGATACAGGCCTGTAGGTTCCTTGCATTACAGCCAAATATAATGAAATAATATCCACTGCAATATAAACCAAAATAATATACTCAATCAAATTAATAAAGGCAAACAGATTATATAACACAGCAAGCTGGCAGGCTAGCCCCATTGACTACAAATATTAAGGTCTTCTCTCATGACTGTAAAGGCTAGATATACTTTGGATCAGTTCAGTGCTTTCTGGACTGGTAAACTTCTTTCCCAGCACTGGTCCTACAAATGATCAGAAATTTAAATTTAAAAAATCCCTGATCTAAGAGCTGTAGCTCACGAAAGCTTATGCTCAAATAAATTTGTTAGTCACTAAGGTGCTCCTTTTATTTTTGCTGATCTAAGAGTAAATTTTTAATATTCTAAAGAGAAAATGAGGTTTAAGGTTCAGAATAAAATATTCATAGCCTCTGATGAGGCTGACACACAGAAAAGATTTGCATGTACTATGTGATTGTCTCTTCAGAGGCGAATGACAGATGCAGCAAAGTTCTAAGAAAATTATTAGAATATACTCAAATGCCCTCTGAATGATACAAAAATGAGCGGTCTACAGAGCAGACTTCATTTATAACTACTTTTGTTCTGTCATCTCAAAATGAAAATACAGTATTCTGGTGAAGATTTTTTGCTGTTGTATTACATTTGTTTCCACATGTGTTAAACTAAACAGAAGACAGTACTAATTATCAGTTCTACGTTTGGTTTAAGATAATCAATATGCAATTTGACTGTTAGACTGAAGTTTTGATTTAAGTTTTCCTTACCCTTTCTAAAGAAATCAATTTTTTTATAGGTTATTGTGGGAAGTACGATAATTATTCAGAATATTGGAGGTAAGAAATTTCATAGTGGAGTATGTGTGCTTTGGGGTGTTTATAAACACAAAAGGCTATATTTCGGTAAAATTATACTTGTGAGAGAGGCTGACAAAAAGGAAATTTACGGGTTTATGAGATCTTGTTATGCCCAAGTGCTACAGTAGGTACACTTTGTCACATCACATGCTCTTTACCTTGCAATTCCTACCCATGACGTGATGAATGCAAACATAAAAGTTGGCCTTTGAATTTAATTGTTTTAGTGGCTTCTATTTACTGAACCATAGAATGCTGTGTATGCTAGCTTAATGGTAGTTTTTCTCTATTTTTGGTTAATTTGATATTTTGTGTTGATTATACATTATCCTTCGTAATGTGGTCTGTTTTTCACACTAATCAGTTTTTTGTCATCTGCTGCGTAGTCTAGCTATTTTTATTTCAAGACAGTTATTTTATTAGGAAATGTACTAAGATGAGCAAAAAAGAACTACCGGTATATAATCAATTAAATAGTTATAAACATGTAAATCCCAATTAGCAACCAGCATATGAATAAAGTAGGAGTACTTACAGAAATATTAAGAGTAGAGTCCAAAAGAAGGTAGGTTTAAAAGGTAGAGTTAGAAGAGAGTGACTGACCGCTGTGGAATGCTCAGGTTTAAACTGGATTCTTTCTCCTGTATGAAAGCAGGAAATGTGCTGAAAACAAAATAAAAAGATTAAGAAAGAGGATGCAGACAGTCATTTATAATGACTCAGAGAAACAGTGTTCCAGTGTCTGTCTGTAAAGAACAAGCAGTCATTATCAGAGTACCTGGACTTATTGCAAAATGGACGTAGAAGTAGACCAAGTAACTGCTTTTATGATTGGCCTGCCTTTACTAAAATTGCTAGTAATGGAAACTACTTAATTTAAATGACTATAAAAATCCTGGAATTAATATCAGACAGGAGCAAACACATTAATTCCAAGGTCTAAAGATTATTTATTCATGCAGGTTTTAGCGGATGTTATGTAGCTATGAACAGATTTTTAAATTTCCTTTCCCATTTGACTGGACCACTAAATAAATGCTTTTAGACAAAGAGGGGATACATAGTGAAGGTTCGGGTGACTCTGGGATCTAGTACAAGGCTATTCGGTCAAAGGAAATTTGAGTCTTATTTCATCCCCATAACAGTTCATAACCTTCTCTGTGTGTCATTTTTAATAAAACTCAGTTTAGTCATGCTAGAGGCCCAAGCTGTTGCATGTTGGATATTATCAAACTGCTTATTCCATCTTCTGCAATGGAATTCTCTGCCAGGGATCTTGACCTGTTCTGCCAAGAATTTCATTTCTGTTTAACAGGTTAATTCAAGGAGCAGCTTTCACAATTGGAAAGCGTTCTTTCAGGTATTTAAAAATGCCTGTCACTTTCCAAATCCTCTGTCTTTTGGTTCTCAGGATTTAAGTGCAAAGATCTTTTGTATAGGAGAGTGGTACACGTATTTCCTGCCCTCATACATTTAAGTTCTTTGCAAAGATTAACCCATTTCACAGATAGGGATAGGCGATTTTTCCCTAACTGAATCAATGTAGTGTTGCTAGATCAAAAGCACCCCCCCCCTTTGCATAAAGAGGCACTCTGTCTTGTCTAACTGGAGGTGGGGATGGGGAATGCAGCCTCCATGGCACTTCCTCCATCTCCTGGTATCCTGTGGGAGCTTTGTTTTCACTCTCAATGAATCCTCCCTCCCCAGCAGCTGCTATTTCTACTGTCTCAAAGAGACTCAGCCAATAGCAGCATGGTCCTTTGGAAGCATGCTGCCAGGGGAAAGGTGGGAGCTAGTGAAGCCGTGTGGTGGTCAGGAACCACCCTTACAATTGGCTCTCCTAGTATTTAACAGATTTCCAGGATTAGGAGGCCTCTCCCAATCAAAACTCCATGTTCTTGACCCTTGAAGAGACAATTAAGGTACAGGAAGTTTTCTTGCCTTTTTGGTCCCCTTCCATGGGTTTCTCAGTGAGAGAGGTCAGGCCTTTGAGTTTAGTTTGTCCTGAAGGGATGCCTCTAGTCTTATCAGTATAGACTTCTTTATGTTCAGCGCTTTCTTTGATGTTCCATCCCCCCGCCCTGTTTCTTTTGCATCCAGCAAAGCCATGACCCTTCAGTAGTCTTTCACGCTGTATCAGTGTCTTAAATTTCAGAGTACGACTAGAAATAAAATGTTCTCAGTTTACCTTTTCCATCATCAGAGCTGGGAATATTGTATCATTTGGAATCTCATTACAAAGAAGATTATTGGCACTTTCAGAATGTAGGCTAAGCATTATTTTTTAGTGTGGTCTCATTATTTCTAAAAGTAACCAGAATATATGGAAGTGACTTACACTCAATTGGAGTGGAAACGTTATTTAACGTTTTTTTTAAACCATGTTTAAAAGGATGCCTTTAGTGTTCTGGGTTAGTTTTTTTTTTTTTTTTTTTCATAAACTTTAAAAAGCCTTTTTCTTATGGTTATATTTTTTTAAAAAAACCCAAAACAAAAAACATCTTGCAGAGTTGAAAGTAAACTTCTTATTTTTAATAACTTTATTGCACATACCCACTGGTTTGTTTGTTTATATGGGGATGCTGACTTTACTACTGTGCAAAGAAGCATTGACAAAAGAAGAACTTGCTTGGTTTTTACAAACAGCTATAAGAAGAGGAATAGTAACTCAAATTTGGATCAATCAGCCTTAAAAATTTTTTCCTTAATAGTCATTTTAAAAGTTAAAGTTGAGACATAAGCAATCAGAAGCTAGGGAATTCAAAGTTAGGGATAGGGCTTGGGATTTGTCACTCTAAAGTATTTAAACATGATTTTTCTTTTTTCCACATTTATAAGTCTAATTGAATAATCGTCTTTAAAAACTTTACTCCTACTAGTAATAGTTACTCACTCAAATAGTCCCACTGACTTCAGTGGGACTATTCACATAAGTGCTACTTAGCATGAGAAGGGGTTGGAGAATTAGGCTGTAGATAGGAAGTTGCATGATGCCAGATCATCATGTTGTCCTATCCATGTCCTGTACTGTCTCACTTCCCACCTCCTCCTGAGATCCATGCATGGAATGATCCTCTAGGTCAGGGGCGGGCAAACCTTTTGGCCTGAGGACCACATCGGGTTTCCAAAATTGTATGGAGGGCCGGTTAGGGGAGGCTGTGCCTCCCTCAACAGCCAGGCGTGGCCTGGCACAGCCCCTGACCCCTATCCTACCCTCCTGCTTCTTGCCCCCTGACTGCCCCCCTGGGACTCCTGCTCCATCCACCACGCCCTGCTCCCTGACCACCCCCGGACCTCCCTCACCTGACTGCCCCCCACCGCCCCATCCAACCCCTCCTCTCATTCCTGACTGCCCCACCCCAGGACCCCTGCCCCATCCAACTACCCCTTCTCCCTATCCCCTGACTGCCCCCCACTGCCCCCTCCAACCCCTCCCCTCCTCTCCTTCCTGACTGCCCTTCTGGAACCCCTGCCCCCATTCAACCCCCCTATTCCCTGCTCTCTGACCGCCCCGACCCCTATCCACACCCCCGCCCCCTGACCACCACCCCGAACTCCCCTGTCCTCTATCCAACCCCCCGCCCCCTTACTGCGCTGCCTGGAGCACCGGTGGCTGGCAGTGCTACAGCCGTGCCTCTGCGCAGCACAGAGCACCGGGTCAGGCCGGGCTCTGCAGCTGCGCTGCCCCAGGAGCTCGCAGCCCCCCTGCCCAGAGCACGGCACTGGCAGCCCAGTGAGCTGAGGCTGCATGGGAGGGGGAACAGCGGGGGAGGGGCTGGGGACTAGTCTCCCGGACCAGGAGCTCAGGGGCCAGGCCTGAGGGTCCCACGGGCCGGATGTGGCCCGTGGGCTGTAGTTTGCCCACCTCTGCTCTAGGTGTACGTTTCAGGCCTGCCATGCTGAAAGGGGGGAGGAGGTCTGTTGTCTATTCCATCTACACACATCCCAGCTGAAGGGCTCTCCATGCAGTTCTGAGTCTGCATGTGTGAGAGGAGGGGGGAAAAAGCATTTTGTCCTAAGGAAGATTCTTGGTTACCACAGCACCAGGCTGTATTCACTTATTTACGTAAGAAGGTGGATTGATTTAAATCACTGATCTTGATTTAAATCAGCAAGCAGGAAATCTTGATTTACATAATTGATTTTAATCTTGTTCTGCATTTATACTTTTTAGTTTTTTTGAAAAAGATGGTTCATTCTCATTGGTTAGTATGTGTCACAGGGTGACACTGGCCTTTTAAGAGGAGCAGGGACAGTACCTGTGCTGCCTCAGCTCACTTCAGTGGGGCTTAAAAGAGGTTATCTGAGCTCTAGAGAAGAGAGAGCGCCAATGAATGAAGGTAACCTTAGAACACAGACATGAGTCAGTTGGGAGAGGGGCGGATGAGAGCTGCCAGAGCTAGGAGACTGACTGTGGTTCCTGGGAGAAGGCTGAAGGCAAGGAGAGCAGCAAGAGGGGTTTCTCCTCGAGCCAGGGCTGAAGGCAACAGGTGCCTGCTGTTTCCAAGCTGGAGCTAAGACTGATGTCTCAGCACTGAAAGGCTGAACCTTAGAGAACAGTGAGAGGGCCAGAGGGAGTTAAGAGATGCTCCTCTGGCAAGAATGATTTCCCAACATGTGGATGATTCCCCTGGGAAGAGCAGGTTTGCACTCCAGTTGGAAGGTCTGGGGTGGCTGTTCTGGCAGAGGGACCGAAGAGGACTGGCAAAGAGGCCATGGTTGAAGGTGCCAGTGTGTGGTATATGTGGCATTGAGGGCCAAAGATGTGTTGGGTGTTTGCACTTGGGTGATAAATGGAATATGTGTTGGGACTTTACCAGAACATAGTTCAAAACAGTTCATGATAATAAACCATGTTGATGGATTAGAGGATGAGACTGTATGGAGTCCTTCAGTTACCCAAGAGGGGATACTGAGGCAGGGTGCCACAGAGCTACTCCTGGCCATGAGGGGACAGTCAGGAGGTGAGTAGCCCTGCT